TGCAAGCATTTAAAATAAACATAAACTGCAAAATAGTACCTGTATGTATCATTTCTTTTAATGAATTGTTTTTGTGTGTGTGTGACATGCAACTCAACAAATCTGTCTTAAAAACATCACACGCAAATATTACACAAGCCTCAGAGAATTCAATACACTTTCAAGTAAAGTTTAAATAATTATTATAATAAACATTTAAACAAAAGTCATAGGGCTCCATTAAAATGGCATCACCCTCAGTCCAAACTGGGTTCCAGTACTGCCCCTCCCCCGTACTTTCCTGTCTACACTATACCGTCCTATAAATAAAAGTAAAAAATATAACTGCTTATTGGTCCATAAAAGACTCTTTTTTTATTAGAGAAAGGTATGAAGACCACTTCCAAGCGTTTACTTTGATTCTTCCTAAAAGTCTACTAAGCTCATTTCTACAAATAAAGACCACACCAGAGCGTATAGCCACCAATAACTCACTACTCTTACTTTTACAGCAAAAAAAAATAACATTCTTAGATGCTTTAGGTGTAAAAGCCAATAGAACAAATAAATAGAGTGGACACTTTATTGTAGTAATTGCATTCCCTCAGAAGAATGAGAGAAACATAGTAGTGTACTACATTCTAGTTGTTGCTCTTCTGTTGAACTGTCCAAATATTGGTCTATTCCATTGTTTTTAATCTCCTTAAAGTATCTTCTAATCATACATACTGACACTTACCAGCACATTTGGTCCGAGTGATGAGGGGTGGTCCTGGTGGTCCAGTGCCACCTTCCCCAGGTCGGGTCAGAAGAACCTTAATCTCATACTCCACATCTGGATCCAAATGCCAGAGCTTGTACGTTGGCGCATCCACAACATGCGTCTCGGCCCAGTTTCCAGTGGTGGTGCGGTACTCCACCTCTTTCAGGATGATGGGACCGTCACCGATGATGGAATTGGCATTTGGTTTGATCCACAAGTAGGTGGCACCAACTGCAAGAAGCTCAGGTGGAGCGATGGGTGTGGGTGGCGCTGAAGAAGAAGAAAGAAAGAAGGGGATTGTTTATTGTCTACAATCTTTATTTATCACCTCACAACCAAGCCCGTCCACATTGGCATCAAAGAAAAGGCAAAACTAGTTGACATTTTATCATCATGTTGCCTTCAAATTCCTCCTGGGAAGTTTCTACTTAGAAACTCAGAAGTCATAATTATTATGAAGCGTGTTGAGTGTCCGAATCAAAAAGGTTTTCATATTTCTTTCTTTTGCACTTCACAACAAAAAGCTTTTTAACACTAGTGCAACAAAATGAAGTGCAAGAGATGTGCATTAGAATCAATGTTGTATCTGCATATTTTTGTTTATTCTTCATCAATAGCATTGTGTACAAACTAATGCATTCACCATACAACTATTAAGATCAATACCAAGCATCTTCAATATATAAATAAATCCATATTTGGTGGATTAGAGGTGGAAGAAGCAATAGAAAGAAATAAAGTGGCTGCACTGAAATACATGAGCCAACTCTGGCAATAATTTTTCAGCAAATTTAAAAAGTTGTTGAAAGAGCAATTAAGGGCCGTAGAAAATAAACTCGCTTCAGTATTACACTGCATTCAGACATAATTTCACATTTGCTTTTGTACTGCAAAATGGTGAGAGAAAAATGAAGGCTGCAATTACAGTGATGCATGCGGCTGAAGCTTTGGAGCTCATTAAGGGATATCAGACAGACTTGCTTGACCGGTAGAATTGTTAGAATAAATGGAATGAAACGTTTCCTGGAATCCCAGTTGAGAAGGTGGGCTATAGCTTTTTCCCTTAACACTTAGCTAAGCTCTCTTCCTCTCACTCTCCCTCTATTGCTTCTACATACTCACATTAAATCCACTGGAGACAGCTTACGGCTTGCACTGCATTACCTTCCTGTCTCTGCCTGTCTCTTCCTTCTTTGTCTCACTGCCATTGAGCACCTCAGATTTACCTTCAAACATGTGAAAGGTAAACAATATACATTTTTTCTTCTTTTCTTGCCTTCTTCCTTCTTTCATTGTTTACTCTCTTCCTTCTGCTTCCAACTTCCTCTCTCCCTTTTTCTTCCATTCTCCTTCCTTTTCCCTGTTTTTCTTCCTTTCTTCTTTCCTTCCATTTTACCTTGATCCTTTTTCTTCCTTACTCCCTACCTTACTTCCATGCTTCCTCCCTCCCTTTCTTCTACAGGATTCTTTATTTCAAGTAAATAATAAAGAGAACCCAAACAACCACATAGTGATGCCCTAGCAACCAATCAGAAGACCTTAGAAACGATCTGGCCCAGCCATCAAAACATTTTCTTTATAAAATATAAGAATTCAATTCAAACATTTTTGTTTCCCAAGTAATATTTTTAACTTCCTAATGTAAAAATTCATTCTGATTCATTTTCTTTATTTGATTTTATTTGCTTTCTTTCTTTCTCAGTTCCTGCCTTCCATCTTCTAATCGTCTTTTTGGCGCTCTTTCTCAGCGGGAGATGGGGCAGACACTAATCCAGGGCTAGAGGTGAGTAGCGGTGCATGAAGGGTTCATCCGAGCATGGAAGAGCCACCCAGGCCCACTCTAATGAGAGGCTGCTGTCTCTACTGTGCCATGTAATCAACTGAGCCAGATTACCAAAGCCCATTTACCCACAGCTGATAACCACTGACTCCCTCAGCTGCCCGGAAAGGATACGCTCTAGCTTGGAGAAGAGAGTTTAGACGTAACCCGTCAACCTCCGAAGCTTAAGAGCGTTTAGTGCTTGAAATTAAAATGAAGGTGGGAGAAAATAAAAACAATAACAGAAAGGAAGGAGGAATAATAAAAAGTAAACACCGATTACCAGAGAAAAAAGACAGGAAATATAGGAGTTTTATTTATTTTTTTCTGCAGAAACTGTCCACCTATAGTCTCTACAATATTCTGTTTTTTTAAATGAGTCACTCATTTAAAGTCTATTGGATATTTTTCACCTTTTTTCGGCTTAGAAAACTAATATATGTGTAATACTTAAGCATAGGCGTTTAAATCCCTAACCATAAACATGACCAATAATTTGCCATAGTAAACCCCAGTAATAATGACTGCAAAACAAATCTTCAACACTTTAGTGTCAAATGAGATATTGCTTATGGATAATGTCTTATTTATCATATGAATGGACTCCAGCGTGTTGTTCATCAAGGTAGCTGTCACATCCAAATTGCAATTTTGAAGTAGTGCCTTTGTTCAAACCATTAATACACTTCCATCATTTAATGCATTTTCAGCAGTCTTTATGTCAGCACATTGTCCTGGCATGGGCATTTATGGTCCTGCAGTTGATAAACTCGGCGATTAGTAGAGTGTTTTTGGATTGGGCGTTTATTATTGCAGCTGGATTAAAATGAGGTTTGGAAGCTGCTGATGACTGCTGATGAATCTTGGTGATTGCTGCTTGTTGATTGGCTGAGCGATATTGTACTCCGGATGATTTACAAACTATTTTGTGCTTCCAGCCTTAACAATGTGGTTGTTGATTAGTGCTACGCAGTGGTGGAAAGAGTACTGAAAATGTGTACTTAAGTACAAGTACTGTTACATTGCTGAAATACTACTCAATTACAAGTAAAAGTACTGGTGCCAAAACAGTACTTAAGTAAAAGTACAAAGTACTCTTCTCAAGAACTACTCAGAGTACTAGTTACTAGTTACTTTTTAGCCAGCGATATTTAATGAATTACCAAAAAATATTCATTCATATCAAAGATCTATATGGATAATATCTACTTTGAACAAAACCCAGTACATCTTATTGACAAAGTACGTGAATTAGTGGTCATGATACAGGAATTTCTAACTTCAAAACCTTGAAAAATATCAATAGTAAAGTACCCGTGAATCGGAAGTTGCAACTGACTTCAGTGTTGTGATGTATTTCCAAGTGAAACGGAATATTGAATAAAGGGCGGGGTTTTATTGTGGTGCACCTCCTCTCCACCTCCTGCTCATAGCAGATTCACGGTTGGATAGTGGTTAAGAATATCTGCTTGTTACATCTGACATCACGCTTCACTGCTTCTGGGTCCTAACGCTCTGCCAAACACCCCCCAAAAAACAACAAACTGTGCTAATATACACCCACGATGTCATGTAATACAGAAAAATTATAACCCTAACCTTTATCACCATACTGAAATCCCAGATGGCCTGCCAGTGATTCAGCTAAAATATCAGTGTCTGAGACACTGTGAGGACAGAGACTGTAGTGTGCACAGCAAATTTTTAAATGCTTAGCTTAAATATGTAATATTAATTAAATAGTGCTCATAAATGGCTGTTGAGATAGTATTCTCAAGTGAAATGAGTAGAGGCTTGGACCCGGAAACAGCAGTCCTTACATCATGACTTAACAAGAGGATTCTCCCGAAGCCGTCAAACTGACGTCATCAGAGCCAGAACGCCATTCCAGAGAGGAAGCCAATTTTCAGTTTTTGATGAAAGATTACGACGGCAGACAATTTTTTTCCCCGGTGTATTGACTTGCACGGTTTAAGTGTTCACCACAAGACTAGTAATGTGCACTAAAAAAAAGGAAGTAGGATCATTTTTGATTTTGTGACGAATTTAATCATTTTCAATACCATTGGCAAAACTATACTGTATACTTCCATATAGATATTTTAATATCTTAATTTTTTTTGTACATCCATGTTTTGTCAAGGCATTCATTATTTCAAGCTTTAAATGGTTTAATCCAAGTCTTCTAAAAAGACACAATTTAACAGCCATATATGTGGTTTATTTAGATAAATCAGATGGCTTTGACCTGTAATGACTGTACAATGTAGTGATGCAGTTAGACAGACTTGGATATTTATATGTACAAATCATACAAATATCCCATTCTAAAACATGTCTAGCATACTTACATTGTAAAGAAATAAAAGTAAAATTTTTGATAGTTGAAAGACTTTCTGATGCATTTCACTTACAGCCAATAATATTTCCAGTAGCGTTTTCATCGGTCAGGCGTGGATCTATTCTTATAACTTTTGGCAAAGTTTAATCCAGGAGCAAAGAGCAATAATTTCTAGCACGGGAGATCGCGATTGCACACAGTCTGAGTGCGCACAAGCAATATCAGAGTGAGAGGACAGGCAGTTCATTTGTATAAGTTAGGCATATTTGAGAGCTCGCATCCAGTTTTCTGCGATTACATGACTGTTCTCATGTTACAATCAAGCGCTAGGCATATTTGCGCAGGAATGATTAAAATTATGCGGAATACCTGCAATCCCGCACAGACATTCAGACTCTGTAATCGACAGGAGGTGGATGCGTGTCAAACTCACCGTCGGAGAGGAGAGAGAGATGCAGTTTGTATCGGTGTATATTCGGTATACTGTGGGAAATGATTAATGGAACCGTGTCAGATATTTCAGTATCGGTATCAAAATATAGATATTTATGATAACACTACCATATAGTTTGTTTCTCCAAACTTTGAGTCCATAAGTTACGCTGAGCTCCATCACTGTCTGATCAGCTCTTCAGAACCTGCTGCAGCAGTGGCTTTTCCCGGTCCAGATCAGGGCATTTATTGGTCCCTTCACGATCGGATATCTTTATTGGCTACTGAAGTGCCATCAAAGGTTTTAATATCAATTCAAATTGTGGGCGTACTCAGTAACGAACTATGATTTAAAAGTAACGAAGTCGATTATTTTGCTTAATTTGTTCTTAAGTACACGTAAATGTACAGCTTTAAAAATATACTCAAAAAAGTACAAGTACCCGAAAAAACTACTTAATTACAGTAACGTGAGTAGTTGTAATTCGTTACCTCCACCACTGGTGCTACGTCACTACAGAGATCAACATATGTTCATTATAGGAAAGTTAAAACATTTGATGTCTATTAATTACTTTGTAGTCCCATTCAGGTCACGTATTGCTTAGGATGATGCAACAGTCTTGACAAATAAATAAGAAACTGTGGTATCATGACAAAGAGCAACTAATAACTGAAAGTGCAAGAAGATAGGTGAGAGAGTGCTTGTATATAAATATACTGGCAGAACAAAAACAAATATAAGAATGACACAAAGGCTTCAGCTCATCTCAGCTACTTAAGTTCTCCAGTTCTTATGTCAGTATATTCTCTCAAAAAGATGAAATGAGAATGAATAAGGAAATATGCTAGGCTCAGACAGGCTAGACACAACCACACAGTGCCACACAGTACGGATACAGATAACAAAAGGAGCATTACCCGTTCACCAGGGGTCCCTTTCACTCCAGGAAAAGCCCATTTCCTACAGACATAAGAGACTTCCTGCACACACTATTTACTATTTCAGGTGTGGAAGAGAATGTGTGAGAGAGCACAATCCTAAATACTCTCTCTCATCTTTTCTTATCAAAATTCCCTTGATACACAAAGTTCATTCCCATTTCCACTGATACTTTGCCATACGTTCAGGAATATTAGCGGCAATGTGGTGATTGGAGTCCCTGTGCAGGTGTATGTGTGTCCATGTGGCCAAGCGCCCCTGTAATTTTATCCTTTATCACCTGGTGTCTGCAGGGAGGTTTTAAAAACAGCTGGATTTGTGAGAAATCTCCAGAAATCCCACCCTGCTATCTGATCAAAGCCCACCGGGTTTGTCTGATAGCAGAGCTGGAGGAGAGAGAGATGAGCTCTACCGTCAAATGGGAATTTGTAGCTGTGAAACAACAATAATTGCAATCTGGTTTCTCGTCTGTTGGAACAACCAATTCAACAGAAATTGAGAAAGGGATATAGAGAGAATATATGAGAAAGTTTGATTTAATCTAGAACCAGAGTGTTTTTTAATAGCCACAATTCAACTGATACATAAACTGATGCATACACACTTGTGCTTGCGTACAGGACGGTATATCAGTATTTAAGATATATTCTTTATTATTTGGGCTGTGAAATAATACATACTCTATTCTTTACATACACTGTTCAAAAGTTTGGGGTTTCTCTTACCAAGGCTGCATTTATATGATCACAAATACAGTACAAACAGTAATATTGTGAAATATTATTGCAATTCTATATGATTGTTTTCCATTTAAATATATTAGAAAATGTCATTTATTCCTGTGATGCAAAGCTAA